TTTTTTTTTTTTTTTTTTTTTTTAAAGAAATACTATTTCTTTTTTGGTATCAGGGATCAAACTTGGGACTTTGTGCTTGCGAGGCAGGTGGTAGAACCACTGAGCTAAACCCCTGGCCCAAAAGGGATTCTTAAAGGCAGTATATGTGGGTTCTGGGCAAAAATGATATACCAAAATATAGGTTTGGAATGTTTTCAGTATCTTTAGTGTTTTTATCAATTATTTGTTTTTGAGATTAAAAAAATCACGTAATGCAAAATTTACAATTTTAACCAATTGTAAGTGCTATATAATATCTGGGTAGCTTCATTGCCCCTCTCCCCAATAAAGCCTAAACTTATTAAGAGGTCACTTTCTATTTACCTCCCACCCCCAATGCCTTTAGCAGCTACTAATCTACCTTCTCTGTTTGATTTGCCTGTCATGAATATTTTATATAAATGGAATAATACAGCATGTGTCTCACTAGATCTGGCTTCTTTCATTCTTTTTTTTTTTTTTTTTTTTTTTTTTTTTTTTTTGATTTTTTGAGACAGAGTCTCACTATGTAGTTGAGACTGACCTGGAACTCACTATGAAGCTCAGGCTGGTCTTGAACTCACAGCGATCCTCCTGCCCCAGCCTCCTGAGTGCCTGGATTACAGTTGTGTGCCACCACGCCCAGCTCTTCTTTCACTCTTGTTAAGGATCCCTCATGCTGTAGCGTTTATTGGTTCTTCATTCCTTTTTATGACTGAATAATGATCCATTGTGTAGGCATCAATCATATTTTGTTTATCCATTCATCAGCTGATGGACATTTCTTTTTCTTGTTTGGCTATTATGGATAATCCTGCTCGCAATGCCTGTGCAACTTTTGTATGAATGTATGTAACTAGAAGTGGAATTGTGGAGTCGTATGACAAGTGTGGGTTTTAACTTTTTTTTTTAGAAACTATCAAACTGTTTTCCACAGTGTCTGGAGCATTTTACATTTCCACCAGCAGTACTGAGCATTCCAGTGTCTCCACATTCTCACCAACACTTCTTTTCATTTCTTTTAAAGCTATTCTGGTGAGTATGGGGTAGAGTTTTACGATGGTTTTGATTTGTGCTTTTCTCTGAATACTATTTTGATAGCCTTAGTTTGAGTCAAGCCTTCTCCTTTTATTCTTGCCTTGTGAAACCATTGCCCCACCCCCTTTTTTATTTGACCAAAAAAAACTTAGATAAGAGAAATTAGAAGTTTTTTTTTTTTAATCTATCATAGATCTTCTTTTAACCTGTACCTGCTTTGAATGATTTTAACACTGACATTGTAAATGTAAATTAGTAGCTTTTATTGTGTCAACCAGCTAGATACCCTGGGCTCTGAAGATAGACAAGATTTAGTCCCAGCTCAGCTTGCTTACAATTTAGTTTGCATAATTATGATTTAAAAAGTAAAAGAAAACTTGAGTATTGTCTGTGACATTTTCTCAGTATGTCTTAAATTCAGCTTAATGAGTACCTTTTTCCTGAACATTAGGCAAAACAGTTGAGAGGAATTACAAGTAGTGTATGGTGGTAAAATACATATTAGTTTTTGTTTTCATGTCAAATGTGATACAGTTTATGGCCCATTTGTATGAATCAGGTAGATAATGAATCATACTGTGTAGTTATGCATACATCAGCTTATTCAAAATGATTTGAGCTGTTCCTTTTACATAACTGTTTATTAAAACTTTAGCCTATTTTTATTAATTGTATTATAAACGAAATGGAACAGTTGAAAGAAACCTGACAAACACTGCTGCAGCCAGGCAATCAAGGTAAATACCAGCAGTGAGTATAAGTCCACTTGACCTACTCCTGATACGATGTGGTGACAGTGGAATTTTATCTTTGTAGCTTTTCTCCCCCTAAACCGCAATAACTCAGTCTAATCATGAGGAAAATACTCATTAATTTCCTACAGAGGGGCATTCTACAAAATATCTGACCAGTGTTCCGCAAAAACACCCACTAAATCTCATCAGAGGGACATTCTACAAAATGTCTGACAGATACTCCAAAACTATGGAGGTTCTGAGCAGCTGTCAGAACCAAGAGCACTAAGATGCAGTGGTTGTCATATGGTAATTTGTGACAGAAAAAGGGAAAAGATCTGAACAAATAATGCATGTTATTTAATAATAATATGATGTATTGGTTCATCAATTTTACTTTTTTGATTTATTAATTTAAATAGATGTATTATAGGACAGGAAGACCTACATGTAGAATATATGGCAACTTTTTGCATTAACTTTGTATTTTTTTCTGTGAATATAAATAACACTGTTCTGAAAAACAAGGCCCATTTTTAAAATATTATAAAAAAATCACATGGAACTGTTTAAAGTGTTTTTCTTTGTGACCATACTATATATAGTTGTCAGAGTTTTTGGTGTTTTTGAAGTGAAAAGCAGGGATGGACAAACAGGCCCCTGGGTTTTATGTGATAAAAAGACCATAAACAGAAACAAAGAATATATGACAAGAGACTGAATATGGCCCACAAAGAACAAAATAGTTAACGTCTCTAGCCTTTTACAAAACAAATTGGACAAGCTTTGATGATAAAATCTTTAAAATAGTTTATATAGGGCCGGGGATTTAGCTCAGTTGTTCCACCACCTGCCTTGCAAGTGCAAGGACCTGAGTTTGATCTCCGGCACCCCCGCAAAAAAAAAACACAAAACAAAATAATTTATATAAATATTTAGAAGAAGTGGTAAGCTATTATGATAAAATGGCATATTTTTTAAGGATTACTGATCAGTCATCTAGTACATAAATAATTAGGACTGTAGTTCCTGTGTAGTATAAGGATGAATCAGTCATGGATGCTGAGTGTGAGGAATCACCAATGTTTTATATAACTTTTCCAATGGAATACAATATGTTACTTAAAGTTTTCCAAGCCTTTCTACTTTAAAATTTTTTATTTATGAAAAAGTAAAAATTTCATAATCAAATAAGAGAATAACAAGTTATCCCCCTTCTAGATTATCTTTCCAAGAGGGTTCACATCATCATATTATAGGCATGTATGCATACTCATGTTTATAGCAACACAATTTATAACAGCTAGATCTTGAAAACAGCATGTGCCTGTATGTCCGAGCTCCTCTGTTTTGCAGTAGCTGACCTGATGGTAGTATAGTTCAGTTTGTTACTCCTGAGACTGACATGAGTTCATGGATACCTGGTCAAAAGTAACCACCTACAGGGACAGCTGTGGGAGCCTGACTTTGCAATGGCCTGAAGTAGAGACTTTTTTGTGGTATGGAGACTGTCTTATTCTCTTTTCTTGTTGCAGAGACACAGTACGCGACACTCACAATTTAAAAGTGGTGAGGTTTATTTTGGTTCATGTTTCAGTCCATAGTGGGTTGGCTCCAATACAGGACAGCATGGCAGAGAGGAGCTGCCATACCATGGTGCACAGTTAGCAGAGGAAAGAAGGAGCCTATCGGAGGTGCATCCTTCCAGGCCATGCTCCCAGGGACCCACCTGTTCAGTAAGATCCCGCCTCCTAAGAGTAGATTAGCTATATGCCCTGTCAATCAAAAGTCCTGCCTATGAGGGCTTGAAGCTCTTGGGAAGCGGGCATCTAGATATAAACTGTAACAGAGAGGCACCTCAGCTGCTCAGTAAAGTGACAAGATACCGGTCACTGCTGGATACTTCTTTAAAAGAAACATACATTAGGGACATGAGAAAAATAGGCCAAAATAAATTTTTGGAGGTACCATAGTTGTTTCTAGTTTATTGCACACGCACGCGCACATGTGTGTGTATGTAAATTAAAATTCCAACCTTTTTTTCTCTGCAACTGTGACAGTGAATGAATGTATAGGATCCACATAATATCACTGAGTTGCCCAGTTTTGTCACCTTATTGGTGTAGGTGTGATTTTGGGCTGGTCAGTAATTCTGTCCAAAATGTATGTTCTTTTCCTATCTGTTGATTATCCACGCACGCGCACATGTGTGTGTATGTAAATTAAAATTCCAACCTTTTTTTCTCTGCAACTGTGACAGTGAATGAATGTATAGGATCCACATAATATCACTGAGTTGCCCAGTTTTGTCACCTTATTGGTGTAGGTGTGATTTTGGGCTGGTCAGTAATTCTGTCCAAAATGTATGTTCTTTTCCTATCTGTTGATTATCAGGGTGTTTGAACTTGGTAGAAACAGATCATTTATTTCTCTCTTTGCCTCTCTTTCCTCTTCTGCAGAGTGACACAGATAATGACGTTTCTCAGAGGACAATATAGCTATAGACCAGTATTTAACTTGGCAGAATGTTTAATATAGCATTAATGCCCTGATTGCTCATATAGACCAAAGACTATAAAACTAATTGAGCTGCCTTGCTCTCCTTTTAGTTCTGTCTTCCCCCTGAAGGTATGCCTGGAGAATGGATGTAGATACATTTCCTCCTGTGTCATATGTAGGAGCATTGTGTGTCTGCATTACTAGTGTTTTCACAAAACAATTCAAAGTTCATTGAGGATAGAGACTTGCTTTGTGTGTGTGCCATTCCTTTGTTTTCCCTAGGTGGCCTGTTCCTGTGGGGAGCACAAGAACCCTGTAGATCACTATACCCATGTAAGTGAAATATAAAGATTTGAAGAACCTTTTCCTTCTAAGATCTTCCATAATTTGTCCCTGACTTACTTTTCCTGACTTGATCCTTTAGTCCTTCATTCAGTCAACCAATTACTCATCAAACATTTATTGAAACCACTATATCTCAAGCATGTATATCTTGGGGACACAACACTGAAATAGGCAAAATGCCTACACTCATGGATTTTATATTCTAGTTTGGGGAAGGCGAAGAATTAATGGCAGTGAGAAAGGTAGTTTGATGAAACTAGACGAAGTGATAACAGAATAATGTGGAAGCTATGTTGAGTTGAATAGTCAAAAAAGGTCTATCTGAGGAGCTGACTTAACTGAGATCTTCTGTCCTTGTGAAGATCTAGGGAAAGAATAGTTCAGGCAGAAGAAAAGGGCTGGCAGAAGTCCTAGTCCTATGTATAATAGTTTCTAAGAGTATTAGCAGTATGGCTATTTAAATGTAAACTAACCAAAATTAAATTAAAAATGTAGTTCCCTAGTTCCACTAGCCACATATTAAGTGCTCAGTGGCTACACGTACAGATAAAGACCATTTCTATCAGAAAGTTCTGTGTTCTCCTTAGCTTTAGACTGAAAGGGAAGGGTCTTATCAGATAAAACAGAGGGATAGAAGGGTCTGTATGCCTGGCAGACCCCCCAAAATTTAAAGGTATTTGCGAACTATTGAAGAATTTTAAGTTGAATGGACAAATTATGTTTTTTTTGTGTGTGTGTATGTGTGTGTGTGCGCGCGTGCATGCGCGCAATATCTTATATTTTAAGAGATCTCAGCTCTGGGGTAAGGAATTATAGATATCATTGCAGAAAGATAACTTGAGTGAGAAACAGAGCTTGGACTAGAGTGATAGTTTTGGCAATGGAAGCAGTGACTTGGCTATGTTTTTAGATAAAAGTGAAAGAACTTGTTCATGATTTGGATATGGGAAACATGAGAAAAAGAGAGAATCAAGGATTTACTGATTGGCTGATGAGAGTGGAAAAACCAGGAAAGGAGTGCAGTTGGTTGGTATCCATTAGTATTGGTGATCGCAAATTCTGCTTCAGATTTATAGGTGTGAGATGCCTATTCAGACAACAGACTGAGATACCTAGGAGACACTTGAATGTAGTCTGGAGACTTGGAGATAGTGCAGAGCTGGAGATACTAAATTTTGGGTACATGTAGTATTTAAAATTGTGGGATAAGCAGAGACCTCTGGAATGGAGGAAAAGGAGAGGTCCCAAGATGGAGCTTTGAGGCATGTCATTATTTTTTGTGAAGCCTTGTTCCAACTAAAATGGTTTAACTATTTTCATTAGAACACATCTTTTACTTTCCACCACTATGCTAAAAATGATAACAATGGAGGAGGAAGGGGAAGGGGGGGTGGAGGAGGAAATAAGTACCACTTTTTGAGCCTTTTTATGCTTGTTGCCCACACAGGCAGATACTTTCTCTTGTTCACTGTTGTAGTGTACTGTCCAGCTTTGTGCAAGCTCTGAGTATTTATTTATTGAACAAATGTAACCTTTGATAGGTACCATTATTGCCCCTGCTGTGGCTTAACTGTGGTTTAGATAATTGGGCAGGGTCCTCGGAAAGAATTGAAGATGTTCTCTCCAGAGATTTGTTATAGAGGAATTGGTGTGGCCACTCCTCAAGCTTTCAGCTCCCTGTCTTGTGATATAATCTCTCAATTCTACATGTGCTTCCACCACTGTGGTGCTGTCAACCCTGAGGCCTTCTCCAGGGCTGAGCAGAAGCTGAGTGCCCTGTTATTAACCTTTAGAACTCCTTTCTTTGTAAAGTTAGCCTGTCTCAGGTATTTCATTATAGGAAGGGACAATAAATTGATAACACCTCCATTCTGGGAAACTGAAGCTTATAAAATTAAATGACTTATGTAAGGGAACAAAGATTTTAACTGGTGGCAAAACTCAGCCGTATCTGTCTGATTTCAAAGCTGTGCATTTAACGTTACTCCTCAGAAGGCCTTTGACCTATCATCTGTGGTTTAGAAGTCATAGCTATGCTTTAGAATTTAGCTGAAGTTTAATAATTTGAGACTCATCCCCCCTAGCTCTTTTTTTTTTTAGTGCGGGGGATCGAACTCCAGTCCTTGTGCTTGCGAGGCAGGTGGTCGTGGCACCACTGAGCTAAATCCCTGGCCCTTTTGGGGCTTCTCTTAACACTATACTTAACAGTATACTCACATGTAATCTTCCAGTGTCTTAATTTTTTTTGAGGGGGGTCGAGACAGTGTCTTGCTATGTAGTTCAGACTGCCCCTAAACTCGCCCGTAGCCCACAGCCTCCTCTCAGTCCTGGCTTCCTGTGGAACTATCCTTTTCAGTGCATCAGTCACACCCCATGTATCCCTCTAGGCCCTAACCTCCTTTGAGGACGGGTGAACTGATTATGAAGGATAAGACTTTTCTGGGATAAACCTGAGTCCCAATTCTTCCAGATTCTTTTCTAGGAATTCCCTTTTTCATTGACTTCAACCCCCATGAGTAATCTATTGTCTGAAAACCTTGATTTCACTATGAATATGTAAACTACAGACCTTAATTGGAATTCGTTTTTATCTTGATTCTTGTACTTGAGCCTACATCTTTGGGGAAAATGATCTCAGTAAATTGCCACATTAGTTTGTTTTAAACTGCTTAGATTTGAATTCAGAGGAAAGAGCTTTCATAAATATGAAGTGTTATGAAGTCAGGGAGTCTGGTATGTTTTTGTTTGATTTACTTATGACATGTGACTTACCTGGAGATATATAAGCAGCTACTTAAAAGGATGATTGGAGAGAAGTCATTTAATTTATATACTCCTTATTCTTGTCATTGGATGTTGTTCTTTTTTATTTTTCATCTTTGTTGTAGCTGAACAATATACTGTATATAGGATTCTGTTTGAGCATCCTGTATTCTTTCCTACTTTTGACTTCATTTAAGATCCAAGTTTGTGAATTTTAATTAAATGTCTAGTTTATGCATGTGAAAAATCTTTTGTTCCTGCGTTGCTATGAGCAACAGTTGTTAAAGTTTACTTTTTTAAAAAAGCAAATGTGGACAAATAAATGTGATGTCTAACAGGTTCAAAAGTCTTCATTTAGTATTGTGAGTGTTCTACCTATAAGAAAAATTGCTACTACACCATAATTACTGTGAGGAAAGAATGCAGTAGAAGTGAGTAATCATCAGACACATTGACAAAACATTCCTAAAATACTATTCAAATGAGAAAAGACTTTGCCAGGCTGCAGTGGAGTAGCCAAGCATTGAGTCCTTTTAGCCACTTGTCTGACTGGGTTTACTGTTAAGTCCTAAAAGAAGCTGTGTGCAGTGGTTTGCACTAGGAAGGCCATGATTTATTTGAAATTTTCTAACTTTTTTTTTTTAAAAAAGCTTGCCTCTTTTTCTCCCCATACAACAATATCTCATTCGTAAAGATGTTCTTTTGTCCTCATAGTATTTGTTTCTTTGCTTACCATCCTACCCCATTCTAAACCTTACTGACTGCTGGTGGTTGCTTAGACTTGTTATTTGATTCTGTTGTGTGACTTTTTGATTATATGCCTTTGTGCTATTTACTAGCAGTGTTTACCTAAATTGGTGGTGGTGAAAGACACAGGTTGGCGCATTTGAATGAACCTCAAGAGCATTGCCTTGGCCCTGCCATTGAGCACTCACTGCTTGACAGATGTCCATGAATTCTCTCTTTAGATGCCCCTGAAAATGTGGCTGGACTGTAGAAGCCAGCCCTTTAGTTGAAGCCATGGGGTCTGGGAGTCGCTGGGTTTAGGAATTTATAGTGAAAATGTGATTAATTTTTCCTGTGAGAATACAGAATCCAGGGTAGAGACGCCCTTTGTCCTCTTCCCGCTTTCTCTTGTCTCCTCAGCTCACGGTTGAGAATAAACTCTGACAATTTAGGTTTTTTGGTTTTATTTTGCTGTTTTTAACATAATTTTCAAAAAGAAAACATAAGCTTTAAAATTTGGGAAGAGGCTACTGACCTCTCTATTCTCAGAAAGGGTGTCGTTCTCTCCCACATTTGCCTTGCTGTGTAACTGTGTACTTTGTTCATGTATGTTGCAAAACAGTGATTTAAGAAAAGTCTTATTTTTTAATTTTGAAAACTTACATTGGGTTAAAATTTTTTTTGTTAAGATGTCGATTTTAATACAGACATAATTTAGGATGTTATTATAAAAGCTATTCGGGAGATGAGTGGAAACCTAAGATGAGCAGGTCGTATTTGAGGTGGATATTCATTCAGGAGAGTTTTTATGTACAAACCATAGGAGATAGTGCCTTTTATATACTGCAGTTCACTTTCTTTCTGCTATTTTCGGTTCTTACTCAGAGGTCACCCTTTAATGCCTAAATTCTTCATTTTGATATATGTCCATAGTGATAATCACATGGCTCTTAAACAATCCATCCAGTGAACTGAAATTTTTGTTTATAATTTTTAAAGAAAGCTGTGATGGAAGTGGGAGCCATTTAAACATCTCATTTCATCAGAATATCAGAAGTGCTGCCCTAGGTGGGAATAAAATTATAAGTATAGAAGGAATGGTTTTGGTGCTTCATGATTAAATCGTCCTAAATTAACCAAAAATTGGAGATTTTATTTTATTTCTTCTTTGATTTGTTTTTGTTTTTGAGACAGGGTCTCACTATGTAGTTGAAACTGACCTGGAACTCACTATGTAGCCTAGTCTGGTCTCGAACTCACAGCAATACTTCTGCCTCAGCCTCCCAAGTGCTGGAATACATAGTAAGTTCCAGGTCAGTCTCAACTGCATAGTGAGACCCTGTCTCAAAAAGCCAAAAAAAAATCAGGAACGATTTGCTCTAACATCAGGATAGCATAAGGTCTATCCCCAAAGATATCTATAATTCTTTATATTTTAAAACCTGCAAGAAAGTATGGTAAAATTTCATTTCCTAAATCTTGGTATTAGAGATACTTGT